CCTAACATCCCAGTCAAGTCTGCAGTCTCTAAGCTCTACAGAGTGTTGTACCATCTTTCAGCTCTGATTTGGGTTTACAACCAGAAACTTTACTGTTGTGGTTCATATTCATCACACTCATCAACCTCGCTTCTGCCATAGCAGGTAGCTGTTTTCACTGAAAGAACTAATAAACCCACCGGACATTACCTCGGCACACACAGTTAGCAACTAGAAGCTAAAGGGGATGTTTGAGATGGAATATTGAACTAAAATGTATTGGGTGGTTATAAACATGAAACTCTGTGACTGCTGGAGATGTAAATAGGCAACTGCTGCTTGTTTGTTCTCCATAACAACTTAATAAGTAATAATAAATCAACTTTGTGTTTACAGCCTGCTCTCCTGTTCCCAAGTGACCAACACTAATTAACAAAACCTTACAGAAAAATATTTAAAACTCTCAGCTAATATATTAAAAAACTACCAGTTTCAACCCTCAAAACATCATGTCCTCTATTCAAAACTGTCTAAAATACCCAACAGGCTTGGCTTTTTGGTTGACTCTTTCTCCCGCTCTCTCTTTTCCTTTTCACACAGAAAGATTCATCATTGCCCACTGCTAAGTCCAGTCTGGCCCCACGCTGACCTGTCTCTGTCCAACACCAGATCAGGACCAGGATACACATGTAATCTCCCATATCTGCTTTCGCCATCGCCACCAAATGAAAGCCTCTTTCTCTCTGCAAACTCTCCACAGATGACCAGAGGATGCAGCGGAGGATAGCAAACATGCCTGAATCCACAAAAAACATTTTCACCTCTCATGTTTCCAGATTCAGAAAAATTGGTAAATATTCTTTAAAAGTCGATGTGGGTTTTGCTCTGGTGATTAGGCTTATTATCCACGATTCTCACTGTTGTGAGTCACCTTTGTGTCAAACTAATAAACAAAAAATCTGATTTGGTTGTTTCAAACAGCCAACGTGAACCCATACACACACACATTTCAACTGTGTATGACATTTACCATAGCCCTATAACAATAATTGCTTTCTCTAGATTCAAAACTCTAAAGGGTGTTGTTTGCATTTTGTTTAAAGTAATCACATCACAGTTGTAACTGTTATAGATCCACATGTCTCTACATGCCAGCTTAGCTTTTACCCATGAAAACCCACTCAGTGGAAAATATTAATGATCATCCTTGGAGCCCATCTGCCTCCCTTTACTTTAAGAGTGATTTTAAAAAAAAGGGCAGAATCAGCTTAACTTGGAAAAGTACATCCATTAATTGTCATCTAGTTTAATGAGAGCTCACTCCGCCGTGTTAATGTGAGTAATTGACAGTCAGACAGGAAGTGGTGTTGACTTTGAGTGCCTGCCACTAGACAATGATGAAGGTGCTGATGTGTAAATACCACATAAGAGTGTGGAACAAGTGCAGGCAAACTTCCACAGACACCACACGACAGATGGACTGACACACAAACACACACCTTTGTCAAGGAAGCTATTATAGAGACTCACACTTTCTATTGTGTACTTTCCAGATGCACTGCTAATTTGCTTCTATGACCGTTTGGACTGCAGGTCAGTGCCAAAAAGCAAAAGCTAAAAGAACATGGGTGTGTACACACATCTCCAGTTAGTCACACGCTGTAGCTAGAACCAGTTGCCCAGTCTGGGGTCAAAGCAGTACTCTTCAAATCTCCATGTGGTGAGTTTGCCACGTTACTGTAGTCATATTACTACTCACATCATATAATACAATATGTATAGACACAGTAGACCGAGGAGAAAAGCATATCAGTGGGGTAAACAAATAAGGAGAGGAGACCTTTGACCTTTAACCAAACCTTTAACGATCCAGCTCATCATCTACAATAAAAATCACAGAGGAAAATTAAATACACACAAACCCTGTACATACAACTACCTCCACCTCAACCCCTGTAATTAATATCAAAAACTAAATAAAGTGAACAAACAGCTTCATTCACTCAGAAATTAAGATCAAGTGATTTTTCAGTGACATTACATCAAACATTTCCAAATCCCCAGACAGACACAAACTCTTCTAAACCTGACACATTTTATAAAATGTAAATTCTACTTTGAGATGTGCAGCCACTAGTTCCCTGAACAACAGTTCAGAATCTGAACACCCTGTCCCTTTCATTTTGCTCCTCCTAGTGAGCCAGATGCTCATTTAGGCCCAACCTATTAGGAAATGAAGCACACAGATACGTCTGCACAGCACAGCTCTGTGCCTGGGACCAAAGATAAAGACCCTGTCATCCAACACTTCCATCAAACCACTATTGTAGCAGAGAGAATTCAGCCTGGTACTACCGAGCCATAGATATTGTAAGGTTTCCTCGGCTATACAAATAGCACAGTGACTTCCTACTCTATGGTCAATATGTGCCACATGTCTGTTTGTAGCCACGACTCCGTGCACTATGGGAGGTTTGTACAGGAGAGGAAAGGAATATGGTCAATAAAACCTTCCACATCCTTGGACTTCATGATACAAGATCAGGACATCAAATTAGCCTTTCAGCTTTTTAAATTAGAGCAAAAAAACTCTTTCTATCCAGTTTTTTGTGCTGCTGACATACAATTACTGCTTGTAATGTTACAAAATATTGCAGGTCCAAGGCTGCTGCAGACGCTGCACTATGGCCATATTTTTCCATGAGATGAAATTTGTCAGCTGTCAGCGTTTACAACAAGACAGCTATATCTTTCCAAGGGGGCTAACAAAAATCAATAAGCAGGTCTTTCAAATGGGAATATTCCATTGGAGGGACTTTCAATAAATGTGATGGTATACCTTGATTTGTGAAAGATTTAAATCACTGGATTACTAAATACAGACATCCCTGTCTTGTTATTTTTTTCTGCTCTTTTCCAGAACTTTTGCTATATGTTGGTATCTATCTAAAAAGAAAGTACAAGCACTGGGGACAGAGGGAAGCAGCTGGCATGCCCAGAGGAAAGAAGACTTCTAAAGATCTAAACCTTGTCAAGACAGATATTCCTCAACAAACATGTTTAACACCAGTATGAGACTTCAGTGAGAAATAATGTCTTCTTGTCTCACACTGATTGCAAGTTCTTAAATGCTCCAGACTTTTTAACACTTTGAGATTTTCACTCTGAGATAGTTGTCTTAGTTATAGCAAAAAGTCTATCACATTAAGATCTAGGCTATAATTCACAAATCTTTAGAAAAGTTATTTAATCATGCAGAGATTTCTGTTTATTGCACTTGAGTCAGAAATGAAGATGTTTAATTATAAACTTGAGGCTTGAAGTCAAAAGATCCACACACTGCGCCGACAGTTCTCAGCAAATGTAACACAGCAACATTTTGATCTAACAGAAAACTTCATCGGGCAACTGAAGACCACAAAGCAGAACTTGCAAAATAATATAAAGAAGACAGTGAACTGTGAGTTGCTTTCAGTGGGCAGGCCATTAAAAGCATTCAACTGCATCTCAATTTTGACTCAGAGTTTTCTTTTCTTTGTCTCTGTACCTTCACATGATCATTCAGGAGAAACGTATGGTAAGATCTCCCTCATTTTTTGATCATCCAGATCCAGGGGTAATTTCTCTCAAATTGATTTTAGCCGTTACTCCATGTTTCTTCAACAGCAAGGTTTAGGAGAAAAAGTTCAGACTTCAGTAGACTCATAATAAGAATGAAATTTACTTCTCAGGAGACAAAGCAAAAACAACTGTGAGCAATTCACTTTTCCTCTGGGTGGTTTTGGAAGAAACTCCACCAGCCAGCACCTCTAAAACTCACACATTAACACATTATATCTAGTTTATATGGAAAAATTCAATTCACTGGTGTATGGGGGAGTTATCTCACACTAATATTTGAAGTTCTCTTTTGCTCTGGCCAGGCAACTAGTGGAGACTCCAAGAAGTGACTGGTGACAAATGACAAATTGCCAGTACAGTTCTGTTTTTGTACAGATTACCTTAGTGTCATATAAGGTGCAAATTAGTTTGATTTTGGCAGGTAAGCTGTTTGCCCCTGTATTTCCAGTCTTTATGTTGTGCTAAGCTAATCAACTGCTGCTGTTCGCGTCACATTATAGAGTGGTATCAGTCTTCCTATCTAACTTCTTGTAAGAAATCAAATTACTTTATTATTTTATTAATCAATCAACTAGGGGGTAAATTGGTTGCTCTATAAGGGAAAATAGTAAAAAAAAACTGAAACTCAAGCAGAAAGGCTCAAATGTCATGTTTTGCCTGATAAACAGTCTAAAACTCAAATATATTCAATTTACATTGATAAAATCAAAGCACATCAACAAATCTTTACAGCTGAGAAGCTAGGATCTGAAAATGTTTGGCAAGTCTGCTCGGAAATAGACTCAAACCAGTTATCAAAAGAGTTCCTGTCCATTTACTAATCTATTCATTGACTAATTGTTTCCGCTCTAATCGCAATAGAAATGAGATATGCTGTAAAAAGATGTTGTCCACATCACCCTCTATCAAGCGTGGCAGTCACCAGTGAATTACAGTATAGTGCAACACAATGCAAGAGACAAAATAATGGGTTCTGTTTAGCTACAAGCCTGATAGAATTCAGTATAAAACAAAAGGCTACTTTTTTTTATTGTCCTCTGTGACCCAGCGCATTGCTGCAGTTTTTAAAAGAAAGACAACTGACAGAACTAATGCTGCCAACAACTGACTCGCACAGTGGAGCCCGAAAACCACCAAACAAGGCTAAACTATCAGACCACCTCCCCGACTTTTGTTGACCCACACACACCCTTCCTCCAACCATATAAATCCCACTCATACTGCATCTCCACCAGCATTGTTGTCAAAAATCTGATTCATTTCCCCTCCGTCTCCTTAAAATATGACATCTACATAAATGAGACAAGTTATTTCCAGACTCTCTCTCCTCTGGGATATTCTCATTTAGCGCTCAAAGTTTTAACAGAAGGATGTGCTGCGATTGACAGATGAAGGCCCACCTTTTGACGGCTCTGTGCGCTTGGGCAGATCCAATGTGTCGTAGTTTTTGTCATTCTCACCATTTTTTCTGCCTGGATAGAAGAGAGAGGGGAAAAGACAATGTTATATACTAAGACTACTATTATAACAGGCAATGTCACAGACACCAGGGTTAGACCAATATGGGTTTAGAAGGCTGATATCATTATCTGCTCATTATCTTTGAGCAGAAACTCATAACTACAGCTGTTCATGGTAAAAGAGCATCTCGGAAAGCCTTAACGCCACCGATAGATGAGTGTTTAGGGTGAGGCAGGTTTCAGAGGGCAGTGTACAAAATGACAAGAAGGTCTCAAAAAAGGACGCTAATCCAAGCAACTGCTACATTTCCATATTGGTCTAATCAAGGTCTACACTACACACCAGTAATAAAGCATGCATGTTTGTATGTACACACAATACAGCGAGTAAGAGGCATGAGCTGTACCAACACACGTAAAGAATTCACACTCGCATTCTGCAGTCGCTATACTAGCTCCACTGGCTCCACCAGCGGCTCCACAGAGATGAATTGGCATAAATTCCAAAATCATACAGAATGAGCACAAAACCCACATACAGACATACACACATACAATCACACACACTTTCTCCACAGACAAATAAGCATTTCCTCAGCTAGATGGAAGTGAAGTATCTGGTCCCTGGTTTCGGGGTAAGAAGGAGTCTGAAGTGCTCCCCCTGGGCTGAACCCTCACTTCCTTTCAGGAAACAAGTTCAGAGGGTGCCTAAGTCAAGGTTACAGGATACCAGGTTTTAATGTGAAATAAAATATGAGTTAGCACTGTCTTTGGATGAATGGGATACTGTATACAGTAATGGATCCATTATTGGATGGGCTACATTATTTATGGGAAGCTCAAACTGAATCTGAAATGATTCTAATATGGATCAATATAATGTACATTTTGCATATCTAAACCTCTTTTAGGCACACATGCCATGGGCAGGAAGATAGATGTTGATAGTGTTGGAACTGCGCCCTTCTGCCAGACATTCAGCAGTAACACTGCTGTCTGAAAGTACCTCAAACATTTGCTTTTTTGCTGAAAGCCAAATGATAAGATTGATACCACCCCTGTATCTGTATAGGGGCCAACAGCTAATGTGGCTCTGTCCAAGGCATCTCACTGACTAACATGGTGTTTATTTAAATTTTGTACAAAACCTTTATATGGTTTTAATAACCTGAATAGAACCAAAGTCAATACATAGTTTATCGCATGGTGTAATTTTTAGCATGTGCCTTAATCTGGACCAGGCTGCCTGCACTACAGGCGCACTGGTTGCACATGGGCCAGAAAAGTGAACTGGATGCTTGTGCACTGCACAGTATTACGCTCCTGTTCTTATTAAGCAGTTACTGTTTTCTTTTTCTTTTTTTTACTTTTTCATGTTGTTTAGCCAAATACAGCAAACATACAAGCTCTTCTTTCTGTCATTCACCACCATGTGTGCGTGTGTTGAATGTGTCCATGTCATACTTCTTATCTGCCTCTTGGCAAGAAAGCAAACAGTATTTTCCACACTGTCAAAACTATTTTACCAACTAGTGAATAACATTCTCTTGGGTACATTTTTGGTGGAAAACCTCTAAACTTTTAGGATAGCTAAGTGTGGCACAAAATCTTCAACATTAGCAGCTTCAGTACAAACCTGTTTCACTATCAGTAATACATATCATTCAACATTTCTATACACAAAGTAACAGAGGCTACAGCAGAGCTTGACATGTATGCTTAAACACAACAAAATGGGATCAGAGCTGAGGGGAAGTTGGATGCAGTTAGTAGCTGTTTCTCATCAACTGTTTGGATTCATTTTATCTAGAGTCTAAAAGACTCTATACCTCAGTTCAATCATAAATCCACACAAAACTCATTTTGGGATTTGAGATTGTTGATGTTGATTAGGCATCTTTGAATCCATTGATTAGTCAAGCTCTACTTACAGTAACCTGATAAAAACTGATGGACTTACCTGTCTTATCAAGTACTCTCTTTACATTTCCATTATTATATAAGACTGGGAAACAACTCATTCTAACAAACAGCGAACACTGGCACAGGTGGAGGCCATAACACTCAGTGATACGGTAGGTAGGGAGGTACAGTATGGTGACGAAATGCATGCAGAATGAGTGAAACACCCAATTTTCCTGAAGTCCTTGGAACTTTCTCGGGTTTTTGGAGGACACCCAACGCTACTTCTATCTACAGTGTGTTCTACAGCCAGGGTGAGGAGGAGGAGGAGGAAAGTTAAGTGAGAAGGGTTGAATGGGGAACACTCACCTTGATTAAACCATTCCTCTATAGTTAGCCAAGGAAGCAGCAGCAATGCCAAAAAACACAAAGCAGGGAGAAGAGAGAAAAGGCATGGTGAAAAAGATGTCCATGTGTGTGTGCGTGTGTCAAGAAGCTATGCAATACAAGTGAACAGTTTTTCACAAAAAGCAGTCACCTTTTACTGAATAGGGAAGGTGAAAGTGAAAGGGATGGAGAAAATGGCCATCAGAGAGATAGAAGGAGAGAGCAGCGAGAGGAAGGGGAAGGAGTGCATGACAGAAAGCTGTACTGTAGGTGTGCACTGCTAAGCATGTTCAGTTGGCATCATTTAGAGAGAAAGGGAGAGGGAGAAAGAAACGTCAAACAGGCAGAAATCTGTCAAACATAGCAGGAAGAGACAGGAAGAATGGGAAACTAGGAAAAGATAGAGAAGGAGAGAAAAGAATGAAAAAGAAAGGAAAAAGGAAAGACTGGGGAAGAAAGGAGGACAGAACAGTCACACTGAAATATATACATTAAACAGAAAAAAGTGCCAGCATTTGTATAAGTGCCTCATTAATCACTGCGTGGGAAGAATAGAAATGGCTCGAAGAAATGGAAATAACAGCCAAGGATCAGACTGTTTATTGACAAAAACAAAGCAAAAGCTACTAAGTGTGTGTTGATCATGATGTAATATTTCATACTGAATGTGACATTAAACTGAAGAGGAGGCTAACTTAGCCTGCTTAAGGTAACAAATTACTGAGCATATTGCCAACAGTTTTGCTTAACTACCCATCTCCATGCTCCTTTAGAGTCATGTTTAATGCTTCTGTACCATGAGCCTCTTTTCTCAAAATGCCTTCAGGGTCTGCAGCAGCTAAGCACATCTTGTTATTCAGTCTGTCAAAAGTACTCACATGGTTAATTGGTTTCTTTAAAAATCTCTACACATGTAAGCTACTGTGTTGTCCTGACCCCTGAATGGAAGGATTCTCCAGTGAGTCATTAGAAGTCAAGGGTCACTTGCTCGTAGTCACACCTCACCAGTAACTGATTAATGGCGTCCATTATTGTTGTTCAGCTGGGAGATAACAGTGTCATTTAGCTAGCATCCTGGGAGAGCGCTGATTAAGATGTCGCTAACAACGCATATGTTCATGAGACATCTGTTAATAAAGTCAATAATGAGAAAAACCTCCTGACGTGTCAGACAGAGCCATGATAGACATCCATTACAGATGTCATTTAGCAGAACTGATGTCTTAACATCAGTCTTCTATTGAAGGTAAAAAGTGACTGTGACTCGTTAACTGATTCATTTACACTTTACAGTTATTTAAGTTTACCGTGGTCTGACAAAGTGGTAGTGTGTACAAATGCATGCCAGTTATTCTCTTTTTGAGTGTTCATTTGCACCTATCAACAGTTATGTGACATATTGTTCTTGATTTAGTTGTTTAAATGAGCAGTTGTCTCTGCATGGACACGATGCCCTTACTTACAGTTTTTTGTGTGTGTGTGTGTGTGTGTGTTTTACATACATCTTAAATCTTGGTATATAAACCATATTTTAAAAGAGCAAGCACTTAGCAGAGTTCTGTGAACATGAATACACCAATACTAAAACTCCCAAGGTACTCCTACTTGTATTGTGAAAACAGAATTGTATTTTGGACATCAGTCCATCCCTGTCTTACAACAAATGAAATGACTGTATCTATACAATCCAGCTATTTATTCATTGCTCAAATATCTGTCAGATAATTCTACAACCTACAGATTTCATGAGCACAGAAAAAATTAGGACTTCATGAACACTACATGCAGCTGATACCAATCATTTTATCAAAATGTTTAATAAAGAACTGACATTCTGAGGGTTGTGCTTGTTATGCAATGAAAGTCACTTTGATTGAAAAGGCAGAAAACTCATTTGGAGTTTCTCAAATATATGAATCTGCTTCATGGCGAATATTTTTTTTTTCTGGCTCCCTCTTCCCTCCTTCTCACCTTTGGCCTTCTTGCCTCCAAAGCAGCCAGCATCATCCTTCTTCTTCCTCTGTGGCCCTGCTGCACCAGGGGCCGCAGATGGGTCCTGGAACTTTTCGGCCCCCGGCACCTCTTTGTGGACATGGTAGGACAGGTTCCTCATAATACAAACGCAGTTCTCCACAGACTGGGAAAAAAGAGGCAGACAAATTACCATCTACATGTATGCCTGTGTGTGTACAGTACTGTATGTGTACATTCCATTAGCAATAACTAATGCGTTTCAGTGAGTAATGTCATCCTACCTTATTGTCCATGTCTTTCTTCCCCACAGCTGACTGGAGAGCGTGCAGCAGGGCGTCCACCAATCCCTCACATTCCCTCAATCTGCGCCGAGCCTCTGCCCCGTCTGAGCTCACATTTCTACAGTAACAAAGTCACACACACACGGTAGGTAAGAATGAGAGAGGCATGTAAAATGGTCTTATACTTGTATAGTGCCTTTCTATGCTTTTACAGCACACTCAAAGCGCTTTCACATAATTCGGCCATTCACCCATTCACACTCATGCATTCACACACCGGTGACATCACCGGGAGCAACTGGGGGTTCAGTGTCTTGCTCAAGGACACCTCGACATGTTGACTGGACAAGCTGGGAATCGAACCGCTAATCCTCCGGTTAGGAAACGAACCGCTAATCCTCCGGTTAGGAAACGACCCGCTCTACCTCCTGAGCCAGAGCCGCCCCCATGTAGAGAAGCATTAAAATGACAAAACTACAGGGCATACTGTAGCTGCTCTAAACTTGCTGTAAAACCTCCTGAAAGAGAATTTACAACTGTTCTGCAGCAGGTGCTTCAAATTTTAGGAAGATTATGATTCATACTTAGAAGTATATACAATGCAGTATTTTAAGATACAGTAGGCATCATAGTTGAATATTTTAATTGATATTTTTAACTGTAGCTGTCAAAAGTCAACATTTTAACCACTGGCCATTATCTTTAAATCTACAAACCTTGAACATATAAAACCCCCAAAATCTAAGAAACCGTTGATGCACCTTGTGTCACGCTGTAATTCTCTATTTGCTACATTTGCTATTAGCATTACAACTTCTAGCAATATTATTTTTACAACAATAACACAACTAGTATTACTACTACTTTATGCATAGTTTAAATGAAGTTGAAATTCATTAAAAAGCACAGCTGGACAGACAGTATCAGGATTGGGTATAAAGAGCCAACAACAGACAAAAACACTGAAGCAAAAAACAGCCACGTGATTTTGCAGGTTCGCATGTGACCAGTCACCTTTATCCTCCCTGTCTGTCCCAAAAATTCTATGTAATGAATCTAGACTGCTTTAGAAACAATCTTAAGAAAATGATGAATATATATTTCATGGTTGGTACAAAGAGAAATGCTCTCCCTGTTACATCAGCCAGCGCCTTGAGCGCAACTGCTATAAGCACAGCAGCAGAGCTGCTGCAGTCCAGTGCATCCGTCTCACTGACTGTGAAAGGAAGGGCTTTGAAGAGTTTTAAGGGATAGCTGGGGCTCCCTGCTCCTCACTAGGGACTTCACTTATGAGGGCTTCCAACCCATGTAATCCCATTAGCTGACCCCCAGTTAGTCCTGTAGAAAAGTGGCAGTCCTGCGGAGGTAAGCAGAACTGTAGCGCTTTATGGTATAGTGCTGCGTGGACTCATATCACATCCAGCACTCTTACACATGTGGCTGCTTCAGTTTAACAACAAACTACACAACTACAATGCCATATTGCGCTGTATTTGAATGGCATTAACAGAATTCTTTGGTGCTCACTATTGATTAATTTACAAGTCACAATGGACTTACACTCCCATCTAATGACCTACAGCATACAGTGAGCAGAGCTATACAAACAAAAACACCTAGTCCTCTTGACAAGTGTATAAGCACTGTATATCTGTCATTTGTCTACAGAGTGGAGACTTAAGAGTACAAAACCATCCTGGAGGCTGTGATAATCTAAAACGATCTTTGGCAGAGGCCGGGCAAACATCACCGGCCACTCATAAACCAGACCCATCTGTCTTCAGCTGTCAGAAAACAGTCACCACCTGCCCTGAAAAAGGATCCAGAACAGCACCGTCTTGGATTTATTTGACAGGAGTGTGTTTGATGGCAGACAGACAGAAGCATTTTATTGTCAGCTGTTTCATTTCCACAAGTCTTTCGGGGAGCAGTTGCCTTGGTGGAAGGTTTATAGAGGGGGCATCTGTCACTGGAGACAGTGTAGGAGGACACTGTTGTCACTGGGTAGGTTGTCTGGGGGCGTAGTATTCGTTTTTACCAGAGGGTAAGGTCTACACATACAGTACTGATGAGTACTGATCTGTCAGGCATTTTGCTATTTCCAGGTGAGTATCCTACAAATGCTCTCAGACTTCAAGAGCTGCATTTGCTTTTTTAGCTTATTACTTGAGAACCAACAAGGCATAGGAACCAAAATGCTTTGAAAGAATGGGTCCACTTTGGTGTGTAAAACCTCATCCCAAATTACAACAACCCATCATGCTTTTATAGTGTACAACTGTATTTGCAAAAAACAAATACACATGCAATCATCTTAGCTAAAACAACACCACAAATATACAGTAAGTTATAAAGCTTTTTAAATGAGCTCAAAGAATAAAAAACACTAGTGTAATATACAACATATATAACCTAACATCAGCTTTATGTGAGATAATATAGACCTCTTCTTATTCACTTAAAAATCCCCTCCAGAGACATTAAAAGGCATATAAAAATACTCTGCTATGAAAAATATATTGTCTAACAGTGATTTCCACAAAAAGTTCATTAAACCTCAGAAAAATTCCTGAAAACAGGTCTGGTCCTTCCCTGTCATTGTGAATTCTAGGAGTCATGAATATGCAAATATGTGCAAACAAGCATTGCATGTGGCCCACCGCCACTGCTGTAAACTTGTAACCGTGGTTAACATCGACATACCGGTTTCACATTGATACTACATTGTGTTAACTGCATAAAAAGGGTCTAAGCAAAATGTGCAAATGTAATGAAATGTACTGATGTATTCCAACATCCCCAACATTTTCAGATGTAGAATTATTTTAAGAAATGCTTGGCCCTGCTTACACACTTTATTCTTTTCACTAGTAGATTTATTTTCCATAACATCTCGTGAAAAATTGTTAACTTTTGTATTTTGATGTTTAAAGAATATAGTGCAAAAAATTTTTAAGAGAAACAATCAGACAATCTTTTCACTGACATCCAAGTGAGGAAATACAAGAAATATTAGCCAGTCAACAGTTAGCACTGTGCAAAGACTATATATTAGATATTTCATACTAACCTTGTGTGTTTTTTGCAACAGAAGACAGAAAAACTGGTTCAGTTACTATTTCAATCACTTACCATTTCTGATCTCATTATGTCTGGATCAGTGATGGCTTTGAAAAAAATTGTATTATTAGAGAATACGTGGGTGTGTATTCAGAGGTCCGTCTGTGTCTGCACAGAACTTCTCTGTAATCTGGAGCTGTCTGTGTGTCTCCTTTACCAGATAAAATGTGGGTGTGAAGGCCACTCACGGTCATTTGACCATCAGAGGACAATAGAGTAGCTGGGAGGATTAGACTGGAGCAGGACTGATGGAGATGGATGTAGATGGATGGAGACGTGGCTGACCTCTGCTATCATACTGCAAGGTCAGCAGCAACACTGAAAGACCATATGTGGGACCTGTACGTGGATATCCTGTGTGTGTTTATCAGTTCTGATTTCATTTCAGTTTATTCATTCAAATTCAGAAAAATACATTTTGAAAGCCAAGTCCACCTCTATTGTCATTGAATTTAAGCTACCACAAACTAACTTCATTATTGAGGCTCAAACTAAGCCCATGTTGGCCATGCCATTTTGCTCTAACCAATCAATTGCTATTTTGTGATTTGATTGGTGTAGCAGCATTTACAACATGAGCATAACATTACTGATGAGTCCTTGTAGCCAAAGGTGAAACAAGACCAGTAGTCAGTACAGCCTGAGAGGCTGTACTTAGGCATAGCTGCGATTTGAGCTACAGTGTAAATGCTAATTTCTTCAGGCTAGCATGGTGATGATGACAACTGTTAAGCCAGTATAATGGTCACCATTTTTCACCACCTTTGTTTAGTACGTTACCATGCTAAAGTTTTGACCTGATCACGGCGTTAGACAAAGAGCTACAGGTTTTACAAAAGTTATTATTCAGGCTGAGGTGAAGATAAATGGCAGGACCAAATTTCACAGCAAAAGTGGTGTCACCTCATGGCAGCTGATGAACAGTCACACTGCTACCAAAACTAAAAGGACCAACATAAACACTTTCTATTTTGCCATGGACTGGGGGTGCATCTGAAATTGTCTACTTTCCTAATATGTAGTAGGCTAAAATGTGTATGCATGACAAGTAGTATGTCCAAATTCTTAGTATGGCATAATATGTGTGCGAGTAGATTACCTACATAACTTCATAGTATGGAAGCTATCCCATCATCCCACAGTGGTGGCAGGGCAGACTCAAAGCTGTTATCATTTTTATCGTAGAACTCTTATTATGCCACCTTATTAAGTTTTGATTATTTTTGAAAAAAAAAACATCTAGTTTTCGAATATGTGGTCAATCTATTTAAGTAATGCCAATTTAAAAATTGCAAAGATGTTTTTGGAGATGTGATGACTCACTAATGTGCGAGCTAGCTAGCTCTACTTAGCAGGCATAGCTGTAGTCATTGTGCTTGTATTATCACATTCAGTAACTTAAACATGATAAGATGTACTGTATAATGTGGTGGTTGTAGTGCCTAGTGCATTTTCATTTGTGGAGTAGGCATTTAACAGAAAGGTGTACATACATGTGTAGTACATATGTTTGCTTAAACCTTATGTACTTCATAGTATGGAAGCTATCCCATCATCCCACAGTGGTGGCAGGGCAGACTCAAAGCTGTTATCATTTTTATCGTAGAACTCTTATTATGCCACCTTATTAAGTTTTGATTATTTTTGAAAAAAAAAACATCTAGTTTTCGAATATGTGGTCAATCTATTTAAGTAATGCCAATTTAAAAATTGCAAAGATGTTTTTGGAGATGTGATGACTCACTAATGTGCGAGCTAGCTAGCTCTACTTAGCAGGCATAGCTGTAGTCATTGTGCTTGTATTATCACATTCAGTAACTTAAACATGATAAGATGTACTGTATAATGTGGTGGTTGTAGTGCCTAGTGCATTTTCATTTGTGGAGTAGGCATTTAACAGAAAGGTGTACATACATGTGTAGTACATATGTTTGCTTAAACCTTATGTTGGTTAAACATTCTTGAATTCTGTGATCATGGACTATTATGACTATGGGAATATATGTTGGTACACATTGATTTTTATACGAAACGTTTTAAAATGCTTTGTCAACTTCTGATGTATTAAATCACCTTTGCACAGTAATTAAAATTTGTTGAATCATTCTTGACTTTTATTAACATTATCCACACTAGTAAACTCTTCATCCTGACATACCTCAAACACTATGCATGTGGAAGTATTGTTGCAGACACAAGCCCAGTGTTGACAGAACAACCATAAAGCACATCTACTGTATTTCCACTCTTTTACTGGGACCAGATCCAATTCAGGATCAGCACTTGAAACCCAACCCTGGCGTCCACCTCTACCCCCAACACCACCACACACACACACAGTTTCCTCTTCACTTAGCCCACAGTGAAAACACTGTAAATAAGCTGGCCTGCATCGACAGAGCAGGCCATTATCATAAAACTATTGAGGTGTAAGCTGTATCTCTGTTGGCATGAGTAAACGGATTCTCCATGGTATCAGCACTTCTCCCCAGGGCACAAACCCTGCGTCTAGGCAACTGCGAGCTTGGTTACAGTTACCATGGAGACGTATTCTCATCAGCAATGCCTGCATCCAGGGTCAAGGGAATGGAGAGATGGAAGGATATAGTCATATGTGACAGCAACAAGATATGGTTTGGACAAATACAAACACACCAAAAGAAAGTCAAAGAGTATGACAGATAATGAAGGAAATCACGAGAAAGACAATGAGAAACAATAAGAAGCAGACAGAGTGGGCCTGATGTAAAATTTCATGACTTCTCTATGACTTTCCTCAGCTATAATAGTGCACTTTCATTTATTCCCCTTTGAATTGTTAATGCTGCTCTTCAACTCAGCAAAAAATGTTCTATAATTACAAACATGTTTCCACAATTTCTCCAATCTGAGAAAAGTAGCTGGAAACCGTCTAATGCAATAAGGTGTGAAAATCACTCTGGTACTTTTTGTCTGAGCTGGATTTGGATGTTACATTATTCTGGATATCAACCAGTATCTGCTGCAGGAGACATTCTGCCCTGGAAAACAGTCTAGATAGGCCTGAAGGCTCGAGTGGCGGCAGCACAGTCACTGTCTAACACTTTACTACAGCCTGTCATTCTGAACTGAAGCCAAAGTGACATTCAGCAGTGAAGGTAGAAGTGACACGTGGAGAAGGATAACCTGGAAGTTGATAACAGGAATTCAGGATTGTTACACTCAAGCTGTCATCCACAGTTGAAGACAGTATTTAACACTGAGGGAGAAAGGATGTTTGACTGAGTTTTTGAGGTGCACTTGATTTTTGCATGACTCTTAAATTAGCTTCAATATGAATATTTGATATTCAGCTGAATCTCTTTTCCTGAAAACATGCATCATTTTGAAAAAAGGAAATCTTTTAGATAGTAGATGCAGAACTGCAAGTAACAAATGTATTCATTTATCTTTAATGTGCCAATTATATTCTCAGTTAAATGATTAATCATTTGGTGATAAAATGTCAGAAAAAACTGAAAAATGCCTTTTATGATTTCCAAAAAACCCAAGGTGATATCTTCAAAGAGCTCATATTGTCTGACTGAACTCAAAGCCATTCAGTTTACTGTCATATATAACAAACAAAAGCAGCAAATCATCAGAATTGAGAATTGAGGAATAGTAGGTAGGGAATGTCTGCTATTTATGTTTTTAAGATGACTTGTACTAAATTAGTCAGTTGTCCAAACAGTTGCAGGTTAATTTTCTGACAATCAACGGATGGATTAATTACCTGTTGCTATGCCATGATGTACTGATAGACTCTGACAAAGCAGCAGAATAAAGAGGCCAGAATTGGTTCTTGTTTTTCTGCTTTCTGCAAAACTGTTGTTATAAAGCTGATCATACAATGCATGTTTTAATGAACATATTTATGTTAATGCTGTTAGATAACTACACAAGAATAAAACAGTGATTTAATTGCTGTTAGCCTTGGCTAACACGTACTGTAGGTAGTCTTTATAATATTAACCATTTACAATAACCATCCAATAATGCAGCAGTTTCCTGCTGGCTAACGGGTTCAAGCCAAACAATCATCTTGTAGCAAAGACCATCAAAGCCTTTTTTCCACAGTGTATGAGTGGGATTTACATGAGGACACACAAAGCTATTATCTCACACTACAGCCCCTCAGGACTAAAGCAGACATTCATTTTTAAAACTAATGGACCAAAAGGGTCAGCAGCATGGCTGTGTGAGTCAAAGCACTTTAACAGCGAGCTATGTCTATGTGAAAATGAACAAGTTAACACCATTTTGGATGATTGACATAGCTACACCTCAAGGTTTCTGTTGCCGTTGGTGAAAAACAGAAAAAGCAATGCGACTCAGTCACTCCAGGTTAATGAGACTGTAGCTGTGGGGGTTAATGACACACTCGCTCAAAAGTGAATGTTTTTCATCCCAGTTAATACTGATGTGTTAACTGACACACACACACACAAACTAAACAAACACACTGACTTGTTGCCATGAAGCAAGTATTTTCACTGTGAACTCAATTTACTGTACCTTAACTGAAGACTAATTTGATTTATGTGATGATTTAATTGGAGCTTGTTTAGTTTGCTACTGATGGGCCTCAGGGTGGACTGGTAACAAAGTTACACAGCACGTATTAGAATGACAAGGGATTCTCAGAGAAACACTTACAAACAAATTCCCAAAACACAGTAGATCCATTTCTTTTTAGGTGATGATTCACAGGCCATAGCTGTATGAGGTCCAAAGAGAGGGTAGACATTTGGGGTATGTCCTAAATAAACTTATGTAAAGCCTGCTGCAGACAGACATCATACTTTACATACATACATATACAGTAGATACGGCCTGGATAGGAAGGACAGCATCTGCCATATCATAAATTCTCTACAGAACTCTAAAGAACTTAAATCTGACTCTGGCTCAGGGTCAGCAAGAACATATGCAGTCTAATATACTATAAGTCACATCCGTCCCCAGGTAAGAGCAGTATCTCAGTAAAAACAAACCTTCAAGGTCCTGGGTGTATTAAGGGTCCCCTCTTTAAAATGCGTCCACATGGTGTAAACGTGGATAAATCTGCCATCTGCCGCCACAGTTATGTCGAATGTCTGTCTGTGTCCTTCCTGATTTAAAACAGGCTTTGTCCAAAACCTTTCAGTCTACCTACACTCTAAAAGACAGCTTCCAGGCTTGCGTCCGTTTAAGACAAAGCACATGCATTTTTAATGTCCATTATTGAGAAGTCTGTGTTGAATGTACATTCAGCGTAGGGCTGCAGCTGATGTATACTATCTCCCAACTACTTTCTTCAATTCATTGATTAATCAGTGTGGCTGTAAAATGTGAAAAAACAGTGACACTCCATTTTAATTTCAGAGCACAAGGTGAAACCTGTTTAACTTAACCACCAGACACAGCTGAGTCACATATGGCCAAGCACTGAATCCTCATATTTGAGAAGCTGCAGCCAGCAAATATTTAGTACTTTGCTTGAAAAATGACTAGAATGGCAAGAGGATTATCAAAACAGATTGTTTAATTTGTCTGAACAATAATGCCAGCCCTGATTTTGCGATGAGATATTTGAACTTTCTTTGCATTTTCTCTAGAGTTTGAGTATATTGTTTTTTTAATGCTGATAAATCTCCACGCCCCAATATGTCTGTACAGATATGAAAATGACAAAAACATGTATTTTACCCTAAATTTAATCTTGATTTTGTGCAAAAGCCACTGAAACAGCCATTTAGTCTTGAACTGAAACAATGCATTTGTGAACATTTCTGACATTTCTCCATAGAATCCACAATTTATGAACTTGACCTGTCTGCAGTGTATCTCTCTAAACTTAAGAGACAGCATTTAATGAACAGATTAACCTGTAATCAAACAGTCTTTTTGTTTTAAACCACATTGGAGGTGGAAAAGAAGTACTCGGTTTCTGTGTAAACTGCTGTTGGGCTCTTCCTACCTGAGGCAGCCGGAGGTGTTCTTGAAGACAGTGGTCCACTCAGCGTCACGGGGCTTTGAGTCCTCATTAGGCTCATGCTCCCACCCTGAGTGGGGGATAATAACCTCGTTGGTCATGGTCTGCAGGCCGAGGTTGATGATCACCATCTTCAGAGGTTCGTAAGATGACAGATTCCACAGTGTTCCTTGGGGGACATATATGTCATTAAGAACAAGGATTGTCAGAATAAACACATGGTTTAAGAGGAAAAACAAGAGGAAGAATGAGGAGGAAGCAAGAAAAATTATAGGAGAGGTAGCATGAGGACGGTTCTGGGCCGGCATTTGGAAATTGGAAAAATAAGAGAGTGAGAGGAGGAAGGAATATGGAGTATGAAAGAAAGTGACAGGAATATGAGCAAAGGATAAAAGGAAGCAAGTGACAAAAATCAAAACTCCATTTAGATTGGCAGTAAACCACATTTAAAAAAATAAGGAGTAAAACTGGTTGTTCATTAGGCAGTTATGATATCAACTGGATGTACTGGATGGAATTAATAAACACTCTACTTTATATTATTGATTCTATTTCATATGGAATATATTTCCATCATTCTAGTTGTACAACAGTGCACTCAGAGACAGCTGCTGTGCTGCTATATACTCATCCTGAATAAACACATCTGAATAAATGAAGTCTTCCAAAACTAATTACTTTTCTATTTAGCCACACCAGGACTACACGGTATGATCTATTTAGTTCAGCCAACAAAATAAAAAGTGAAGCATCGATATCAGACACATGGAAGTCCACGTTTGAACGGGTCTGAATTTCTGTTTTTATTAACCCATGTCTCTGACTTGATTTCTTTCACAGTCTTTCTTTTCTCCTTTTACATTCATGTATTTATTTGACATTCTGCAGCAACATATTGATATCACATATTACATACAGATGCAGCTCAATAAATTAGAATATCGTGGAAAAGTCCATTTAGTTCGGTAATTCAACTCAAATGGTGAAACTCGTGTATTATATAAATTCAGTACACACAGACTAAAGTAGTTTACGCCATTGGGTCTTTTAATTGTGATGATTTTGCTCACATTTAACAAAAACCCACCAAATCACTATCTCAATGGGGCTAAGGCATCAAGGGCCACCACACACCGCTGTGTCAAGGAATTTGGCTAAAGTTGTCGTATTCCTCTTGTCAAGCCACTCATGAACCACAGACAACGGCAGAGGTGTCTTAGCTGGGCTAAGGAGAAGAAGAACTGGACTGCTGCCCAGTGGTCCAAAGTCCTCTTTTCAGATAAGAGCAAGTTTTGTATTTCATTTGGAAACCAAGGTCCTAGAGTCTGGAGGAAG